TTTATAAAAAATAAATTTAATGAATTATTACAAAGTTTTTATAAAAGTTAATATATATATATTATATATATACACACTGTATTAATATTTACTAACACTTCTAGTTTATGATTTATTTTATATAGATTCTAATTCAGTAATTAAATTATTATTAATATATTAATCTTGATTTTGTGCTTTGTTAAAATGTAGCTTATATACATATATATCATAATTTTTATAGCTATTTGTTGCAAGCAAATGGTTGTGATTAGTAAGAGTAAAATATGTTCATTTTAAAATTTCAGTTTAAGTATATATTGTTTCCTTTCTTCCCGTTTTTTTTCTACAGAAGAAATAGACAATAAAGAATTGGTGCAAATTTATGACTCAGATGATGCTATTGATTCGGAAGAAGATGAAATAATAGATTATCTTAAGCATGGCACTTCATCATTTAAAGGTCCTTAGAATTCATATTTTAAAAAAGACGGTTGCAATCTAATTGATGCTCCAATATTTTTATTTATTTATGTTCACTTAGCTTCATTTTTTTTTCTCTTTATTTAAATCTTGCAGTCACAGCTACCATTTGTTTGCTATCAATATTTTGTTTATTTAAATTAGCTGTTGTTCTATAATAATTATTTTATAAAGAATCTGCTTGCTATGATCTCTATTTTTCATATCTTAATGATAAATGTAAACAATTAAGTCTTTAATAAAGTGAACAGATATGAAAATTTTTTAAAATATTGATCAATTCTGGAATTCTTTTGGAAATATGATTTCTTTAATTATACAAATTTCTAAAAAAATAAAATAAAATTTTATTTTAAAAAACAATGATCTTAATGTAATACAAGTGTAAGCATTATTAAATCACAACAACATATGCAAAGTTTGAATTTCAATAACTAAAGTTTCCCCACACCAGGTCATATAAGACAAAAAATGTACACACTGTAATCAATATCCGGCATGAAAAATCCAAACAGGTTGGCAAACGCTTTCGATGCCCCTGCTGGGCTCTTCTTCAGGCCAAATTCGGTGTAACTGGATTCTTATAATCAAATGTTTTTAATTAAATAAGAACGTGCTTCACTTCTAGATGTTCCAATATGGAAGGCAATCACCTGCCATTTCAAAAATTAATTTTTTTTCCAGTGGGAATACAATGTGCATATCCTATAAAAATCATGTGTATCATATAACAAATTACGATTTATCGTCCAATAAATATTGCCAAGCTGTTGAAAGATTCATTTCTTTTTTAAAATTGATGCAGGTTAATTTGCAATCTGCATTGAATATCTCCATTGCTTCCAAAGTTCTTATGTGTTCCTGATGATGGGTGGTGTGGATAACTCATGCCTCGTTAAAAATCATTGTTTATTTGTTCTTTATTTTAAAATGTCCTAAAAAATTAAAAGACAAATTTTTAAAACAACAAAAGAAGAATTTTAAATTTCAATTTTCTTAAATTTATTTGAATTTAATTGTATTTCTTTTAAACAATAAACAAATGTACCGGGAACCTGTTCTGGTGTGCTTCTTGGAAAAACAGAGTGTTACAAATGTTTTTGAACTTGAAAGTTCTTCTTCAGGTAACTGATGACTGTTAAGCTAATGCAATTCAAATTCAAGTCAAATTGGAATACCATTTAGAATTCTATCGTGTGGATCGATGACGTAATTCAGGCATGCGCCCCTCTGCCGATTGTAAATTATCATAAGTTCTTGTCTATGAGCGCCTGCCATGCAGTTGACAGGGTGATTTCGTCTTTGTGGTTAACATTCGTAACGCTCTGTTTTTCTGAGAAGCATACCGGCAACAGGTTACCGGTACATTTGTTTATTGTTTACTTTAACCCAGTGTAGTATAATTCCGATTGTATTTCTTTTAATTTGCATTGTTTTTCTTTCATATGTCTTCGTTGTTTATTTGTTCTTTATTTTAAATTAGAATTACATACAGAAGAAACCCTTCCATATACAATTTATTGAGAAACGGAAAAGCCGCCCATAACCCAAATAGACTTCCAGCAATATATACCATTCTATTAATAGATGACAGATGGCAGAGGCAATTGATTTACATAGGATCAAGCAAACGTCCATTAGCCACTAGAGTAAAAGATCATAAACAGATATCACCCACAACAAATGTACGACGGCATTATCTACATATGCAACAAGCCCGGACATAATCCCAATTTTTAACAAGGCATGAGTTATCCACACCTAAGAACACCTAAGAACTTTGGAAGCGATGGAGATATTCAAAGTAGATCGCAAATTAACCTGCATCAATTTTAAAAAAGAAATGAATCTCTCAACAGCTTGGCAATATTTATTGGACGACAAATCATAATTTGTTATATGATACATGTGATTTTTATAGGATGTGCACATCGTATTCCCACTGGTAAAAAATTATTTTTTGAAATGGCAGGTGATTGCCTTCCATATTTGAACATCTAGAAGTGAAGCACATTCTTATTTAAAAACATTCGATTATAAGAATCCAGTTACAGTGAATTTGGCCTGAAGAAGAGCCCCGCAGGGGCGTCGAAAGAGTTTGCCAACCTATGTTTGGATTTTTCACACCGGATATTGGTTACGGAATGTATATTTTTTGAATTTCAATAAATTAAACCTTATAAACAGGGTTATTTTCAAGCTGTATGAATAATTATTAAACTAAGGAATTTGTTCTAAAGTTAGGATGTCTAAGCATATATTTTAGACTAAATTTATTGCAGTTTTATAGCTTTCTCATTTTATTCTAAAAATAATTTAGAATATTATATTTCATATAATATTAACTCAGGTCTGCATTCTGATTTTAAATTTTAGCAGTTTTATCTCAGATTATTGACACATTAACTATTTTAAAATAAATACAATATTTAGTTAGAATATTCAAATTCACATCATCTTAAAAATTTAAGATGATGTGAATTAAATGGCATTAACAATATCAAAATATCAGCACTGTCATTTCCTGTCTGTAATCTGTGGATTATATGTTTAAGACTTTCAATTTTGGTGATGTGGATCATAAGTTCACTATTTATAATCCATAACAAGTTTTCCACGTCAAAAAATTATTCTAAAATAATTTTCTTGATGTTTCTATATCAATTGGATGCAGAATACAAAGATCCAGTTGTTTCCACTTGTAAATAACACTATATTCTATTTACAAGTCCATCAACTCACCAATAAATATCTCCAATTAAGATGTATTAAGCTTAGCTTAGAATGTTTTAACTTAAATATGTCAACATATGCAATGATATCTGCCCAATCATATGCTTGCTAAGCATGCAAAAATTTTTACTGAATAAACAGGTGTCTGTTGCATATCTTTGTTCTTTTAATTATTTGTATATGTCTCTCACCTCTACCAGTTCTGTAACGTGAATGTGGCTATATCCAGTCCTTTGAGGCATTGTGATTTTACTTTTAAGGAGTGTACAGTACATGTTGGTAAAACAGTAGCATTCAAAACAACTGCTGCTGTCATAGTACACTTCCTGCTTGTTTACTCTGTCCTATTATCTTCCTTCCTTATCAACACTAGCATTCCATTTTCAACTAGCCAAACCTAAAGATGGCCCATTAACTGAACCAAAAACATTAGTATTCTTTAATGTCACCTACTTCTAAAAGCATATTCAGCTTTTTCTTCCTGGTGTTTCCCTGAATCATTTATTAATAAAATATCATAACTGAATAGTAGCTCTACATCAGTGTTTGCCAACGTAGGCCCATGCCCCACAGAGGGGCAATCGGATTGTTAAGGGGGTCAATTCGAAAATGGACTCATCCAGAGTTTAAGTTAACCATATAGCCACTGTATATGTTAGGGGATCATAAGAATTTTAGAAAGGCTTAGGTGGGGCATAGCACAAAAAAGGTTGGGAAACACTGCTCTATATGAACTTCCTTGATCTAACAAACTTTCTGCATAACAACAATGAAGAAAACAAGTCTTGTAACTCTTGGTTGAGATGACACAGTCAGACATTATTACTGGTAATCGTTATTAATTAGCTAAGCTAAATTATCTTAAGATAAATTTAAAACTTTTTAATTGGAGATATTTATTGGTGAGTGGATGGACATATAAATAAAACTACAGGTATACCTCGACGTCGTTTCGAGTTACGTCGTTCCCGATTATACGTCGTTTGTCAAAAAAGTATATGGAAAAATAAAAATCAAGTTTAAGTCATTTTATTCGACTTTACGTCTGTCCGCCACAAATATTGAAGCCGTAATATCACTAGAAAAGCGTTTAAAGCACATAAAATCATATTAAAATATATACATTTACAAGTATGTATTGTATTTACAGTACATGCATTTGTAAATTTAGATTACTTTTTTCTGTACTATATTAAAAACTAAAATTTATTTGTTTGTAAGCTTAAAATATATCCTTATTAATTATATATTATTAAAATGCATTAATAAATAAAATACAGAACCGGAAATGGTAATTTATGGTTTAGCCTAGTGACAAGTAGATTCGGAGACAAGTAAATTCGTCTTACGTCGTTTTCCTGGAACCAATTACCAACGTAAGGCGAGGTATACCTGTATTATAATGTATTCATAATTGGAAGCGAATAGTTTGTCAGCACCTGTGTAATCTATGTCCATCTGATACATAGACAACAAGCACCCAATCACATTTTATCATGTAAAGACAACTTATGTAACAAAACCTAAAATGATTTTATATCTTTTTTTTAATTTATGGACAAATTACTGTAGATTATATGCTATGGCCTATAATCTGTACCATCAAAGTTGGAAGGTATTTCAATGCATAAACCATAGATTACAGACAGAAAACCATACACTACAATATTTTTTATGTAATAAATGTAAAACAGACAACCATCAGTTACAATGTAATTTAATAATAGCATTACTTGTACTAGTCTTTTAATTTCCATGTTTAATACAACTGATATTGGTCTATAAAATGTTAATTTATTACAGGCAATGAAAAAAATTTAATAATAGCATCTCTGTTAACATTTATATGGATATTTATGTTTTATGATAGCTTTAAACAAACTTATTAATCAGTTCCAATTTAAATAGCTTAAATTACTAGAATTCAGAAAATGTAAGTAAAAATCTTAATTTACAATTACATAACAACATGTATTATCGATAAAATTTTGTATGTACTGCAGTATGATATTGTAACAATAAGAAATGGAAAAACAGTATTCTAGTAATAAATATTCTTGAATACTCTAAAATGATTTTTTTCAAGTTCTTTCAAAATTTAATAAATAAATAAATAAACAAATTTCTGTAGTTGATTGTTAGAGTATTATGAAATGGTTTCAAAATTAGTCTTTTTATATTACTTGTAATTTCATACCAATTAAATTTGATAAATTTTCACAAAAAATTAAATAATAAAAATAGTCATCTAACTTGTTACCTTTTTTGATATCTTTCTATCTTCATATAAAAGTCTTTAGCTTGTATAAAATAGCATTTCTGAAATATTAATTATAAATTAATTTATTCATTAATAAACATTTTTTTTAATTAGTTCAATTCTTATTATTTAGTTATTAAATAAATCAGTTTTATACACTAAAATTAATTTATTATCACATAAAATACAAAATCTTCATTCATTTATAGAACAGAGAATATACACTACTGTTCATTGAAATTGCAACACCAGTAAAAACTAGGGTTATGGCCATGAAATTTATTTCTGAGATTAACTTGTAGGAGATGATACAAATTATCAGAGTTACAGCTTTGTAAGTATAATGTAACATGCTAATGTCAGTATGTTGTATACCACCACAGGCAACTATAACTACCTATACTGCATGTGTTGTGCTATTGAGTAGTAGAAATTCTGGATGTGCATCTGAGGAATGTCAGTTCACACAACTTTACCATCCACAATTCATCACTGGTGGCTGCAAGTGATGGCAGACAGGACAATGATAGCCCACATGTATTCTATTGGCTACAAATTAGGCAAAAAAGAAAGCCAGGGATGTTAAACATGGTAAGAATAGAAGTGTTGGATAGAATGAGCAATATCAGGACAAGCATTATCCTGTTGAAAGAGGCTGTCAGCCTCTTCCTCTTCTTACAGACCATCTTTGTAAGAAGAGGAAGATTTAAGCTTCCAAGATTTCCATGATATACTGCTGATTGTTCATGGTACTTGAAATGCATAGAAGCCAAGAGCACGAATGCAATGCTATAACACCCCAAGCCATCACACTGTGGGTAGGACTGGTATGACACTGTAGAATTCCCTTTCCAGGGGCTATTCTCACAGTATTTGTGAACAAGGATCAAGCTGTCATGTGCATCAGACTGAAATCAAGACATTAAAAAACATTTTGCTCCCATTCAACATTTTAGTGTCTTTGTTATTGGCACCATTTAAGTCTCTCAAGAGTATCTATGCTGTAGGATTAAGGAGTCATATCAACAGATGGCCAACTATGAGTCTTTGCTGCAGCAACTGGCAGTGAACAGTGCTAGCAGAGATGTTCTGATACGTTGCCATCTTCCATTGTTTGCCCAATGTTATGGATGTTGCTGTATAATTTATCATTGTCAGTCGTATAGCATAAGAGCCTGCTTTCCCTTTCAAATGTAAACATTACAGCTCAAGATCCTTCACAACACTGTGTGAAACCTTCCACTGTCCATTGTTGCCATGTATGCATAACTGTACTAAGTGTTTCACCAAACACATGAAGCAAATTCATGATACAACAGACATCCTCCTCTCAGCTCAAGAATTTTTCCTCTTTCAAACTCTGTCAAATTCTCATAACATTCCCTCTTTTGGTGATGTGGCATAGCAGAATACTAGCAGCACTGCAACAGTTGATTTCACTGACAGAATATTTGAAATTTTTTTTAGTAAACCAACTTTTATACCTGTGGAGTCATGCTTTAGTCAGTGTTATGCAAGCACCAAATGTGCTGAGAGTGTATTCATTTGCATCTTCCAATAAAACCTAATCTAGCAAATTTAAACCTAATCCTGTCTCCTTCACAGTGCTGAAATTTCGATGGACAGCAGTGTATAAAAATAGGGAAATAATAGGTACAGAATATTAATTACTCGCACAACATCAATCTTATGATTATCAGTTATGTAGAAGCATGTTTTAAAAGTTAATAAGTAGAGAGGAATGACATATATATACAGGATAGCCTAAAAGCTAATTAACTGAGATATGTTTTAAAGTTATTTCAAGAACAGTTAAAACCAGTTTGAAACAGCTACATTTCATTATTTGGGATTCAGCTGCTTCATTGAGAGTAATTGAATCATAACATGAAACTATCCCAAACTGATTTTAATCTTACTTAAAAATATATCTCTATGAACTGACTTTTGGGCCTTGTAAATTTTGTATTCAAATTAATACAATGTAATTAATTCTTCTGATTTTAAGTTATTTGATAAGAGATTCAAGTATTTAAATTCCTATATTTCTTTTTCTACATATTTTTGTTTTATTGTTAATGTTTGTTAATTTTATAAATGCTTATGTTGCTTATAGCTTAATAATGATCCAATATAAAGTTTGAAAATATTAAAAGAATTAGTGTTATAGAAAGAAAGGAAGACAAAAGCTTAATTTACTTTTCTTAGCTGCAATGAAGCACCTTTCAACAATGTATTCTTTTATTTTTTGATTTTATCACAGTTTTGCTAAAATCACAATGCAATTTTCTTCTATGTAATAATTTTAGTTACATTTGTAATTAATTAATAAATTAATAAGTTTTAATGAAGTAAAAATAGATTAATTTTGAAAGCATTTTTTAAGGTATATCATTAATTATCAATAATATAAAAAATCTTTTATTTAACTAAAAACTGAATAATTACCAATAACTGAATTTATTTAAATTTATTTAGTTAATAATTGAGATTATTAAATTAAATTTAAATGCATTATTTATTTTTACATTATATATTGATAATTACATTATACACATTATATAAATGCATTAAAATTAACAGTTGTGATTAGAACAATTTGAATATGTTAGTTGTAAAATTTAAAACACTAATGAATGTAGACTGTAATTAAGTTATAAAAATTTTTAGATCTCATTTTGTTTAATCTTATTTTAGATGGGACAATGTTCTGGAGTCCCCTTGGGCTTTCTAATTTCTAATGATATACCTGAGAGTATTATTAATTAAATGGGTTGAGAATTTGGTAATAAATAAATATATGAACCACATCAAATTAGTATGCAGATACAGTATGTAGATGATATGCTATATATTTTGGATAATAAAATATATATTTACCTATTCTTGGAAGATATCAACAATAATTCAACATAAACAAATGACATTACAAACATCAATAACCAGCAAAAAACAAAACAAAATTTACTTTTATATACAATGGACATTATCAAGTTTAACTGAAAGAACGTAGAATGGAACAAGAAAATTAAAACTTTGGAACAGAATATTTTAAATCAAAGTTCAAGCACATGAAGACTTGTACCATACATGTCTGATACAAAAATACCACTGAAGGGAATTAGGCAAGCTCAAATAGTGCATCCAAGCTGGCGAAATTGAGTCTGTTTCTTTAAAGTTACTTGCTATCTTTCTCCTGAAAGCTTTGTAGATTTTAACTCTTTCTAGGTATTTTTGTTTAAATAGGTCCACCTCATAGTAAAAGAGACATGACTTGTCAAACTCTACTTGCACATGTTTATCTAATTTTGACAAGCATTGTGTTGGAGAGATGTTTTTCAAGACTTGTACTTGTCCTTAATCTTTGCATGGAGGCTCTTAGCAGTAGCACCTATATATTCATGCAAACATTGCAGCCTCAAACTGGAATGCTATAAATACCTGGCAAGTATTAATGACTTTAATAACTTAATAGATATTAGACTAGGTTTAGAACAGCTTAGTTCAATGATGAATTATTTAGACAATTCTATTTTTAAATCTGATCAATGGTATTGCACTAAAGTACTTCAAAGCAAACATTAATTGGTTCCTTTAAACACTGGAAGTCATATGATATTATTGTCATACAAATAGGCAGTTAGGCATAACACATTCCACACTCGCAGCACAAATGAATAAAGAGTTAGAAAGAATTATCATTACCTCTATTCAACAAGACTTTCCTAGAAATGTCACAGGTCTCATTAAGGCACACTTTAACCCTTCTTCTAAAGCTAATAGAATAAGAAACAAACAGTAATCTTATTCAGACTATTATACTGTCACAGGCAGATTTCTTAAGACTTTATGTACAAAATTCACCCATACATATAGGCATTAAGAGATCATTAGTGATGCAAATCTTAAGAAAGGACAGACTAAATCAATGACAAGGATAAGCCAGAAATATGCATGATTAAACTGGTCAAACACAGAGCTAGTTTTTTCTATATTAGCTTTTTCTAGTTTAAGTTCCATTTGTAGGACCTTATCTAAAAGGATTAAAGAATATTATAGTTGAGTTACTAAAGAAATCCTGGCAACATTCACTTTGCTATCCCATTGGACTTTAGAATTGGTGATACAGATTATGAGGAAATTCCTATTTTAATTAAAGAAACAATACTGCTCTCTCAGCTTAGATTATTAGAACAATTGTCTATTCTCATTTTCTCTAAATATTCTAATTAATTCCCATGGACATTAAATATACCAAAATATACACATAACTTGGTGCTGATTGTTATAGTTCAGATTTTTCCACTTGTTGCAGAAATGTTCCAGCCAACTTTATCAAGTTAAACATATGGGTGGCTGTTATATATTTACATTTTGTAATATTTTTAAAATTTTTAAAACATTTCATATCTAAATTACAATTATTATTCATTAGTCTTTTGAATTGTACAACTTCCATAATCAATGTCACGACTTGGTGAATTTATCAACACTTGGCAAATAATTGCTTAAGTGTCAATAAATTCACCAAGTTGTGACATTAAACCAGAAGAAACAAGACGACGACAACATGGTTTCGACAAATAAAATTCCATAATCAAATTATAATCACAACTGTTAATTCGGAATTTTATTCTATAAACTTAAATAATACTAAATTTCAAGTTCTATTTTAAATTTTGTTTTACACAAAAATTTTAAATGTAAATTATTCTAAACTCAACTGTCATTATAAAAACACTGCACATATAATCAATATCTAGCAAGAACAAACTAAAAGAAAGTAAACATTTTGTCTCTGTTTAACAGGCATCATCAACCTAATAATGCCCATTAAACACAGATGAAAACATTTGCTTTCTTGTAGTTTCTTTTTCTTGCTGAATGTTAGTTTTAAGTGCAGTGTTTATTAACATATACCTAGTTTTGAGTACAGTAGTTGAATGTCATTTATATTTTGTTCTGCATAAAGAACTGATGATAGATCAAATAGGTCCAAAAAAATTATTTTTGAAATAAATCTATTGATTTCTTCAACTTAGCAATATATATGTTGAAATACATATAATAATTAATATAAATAATTTAGTATAATTAGAATTTATTTGTATTAAAATTTCTGTTAAATCTGAAAAATGATGAAAATGTTTCATTTTTTCATTATTATTTTATTAGAAGTTGAACCACCAAGTGACAGCAAAAATGGATACTCCGAAGAAAGTGCAAAACAGCTATAAAATATAGGGTAAGAATTATATATATATATAAATATACAAGATAGTTTAAAAGTAAATTAACCAAGATGCATGTTATTATTTATAATTCATTAACTTCATTGATAAGAAATTAATTAATAGTAACATGCAGCTGTTCCAAATCAGTTTTAATTATTCTTAAAAATATATATTGGTTAACTTAGTTTTGAGACATCCTGTATATATATGTATGTAGGAAAAGTTAAAATAAAGCATTTTAACTCAGCAATTATGTATTTTAAATCTAAGGGAACATTTTCAACCATTTCTCCAATGGAACAAGTATCCATCAATTTTAAGGACCAGACTACTGTTTTGAAGCATGCAGAGCTTGGTATGAGATTTCATAGGATAATTAAGGAGCAGTGGATGAGATGTCAAATTTTAAGTAGACCTGAGCTTTGGTTTGTTTACTTAGTTTTTTTTTTTACTAATTTAATGTTTCCCAATTATGACTTCCAGCCAATTGCATTTCAGGTCTATGTTTTTTAATTCGTGTTCGAAAGATTGAATGTTCTGGATTCTATTCCAATAACATTTGGATAGTATTCAATTTTAATGGCCTGATGATGGCCATTAAAATTGGTTGAAAATGTTTCCTTAGATTTGATTAAAATACATGATTGTAAAGTTAAAAAGTTTTATTTTGAGTTATATAGGAAAAGATTTCTAATTTAATAATTTCAATTTACTTTTCCTTCTTTATTTAGAGCTGCTGATAACAATCTATCATGCTGTAATGGTCATTATATAAAACTGTTTTTTTAAAAAGAGCAAAAAAATTTGGAAATTCTACAGTTCAAATAATGTAGAGCTTTGTTTAACTCAAAACAGCCAATAACTTTTTGTTTGGATATACATGTATATTTTTGTCACTAAACACAGTTGTTATATATGTTAAGTCACTGTGCAATATGTATGTTTAAGTTTCTTGTATTGAAAGCCTGTGGTTGTGACTTTATTGACTATGTAATATGTTTATGTATAAATGTTTTAATAGACAACTGTGCCATTTAACATCCTGCTTTCTTTAATTAATGCAGGAAATAATAACAATTAATATTTATGTTTTTTGTACATAATGTTTTAAAATTCAAAAAGTTGAAATTCATATAAAATTTAGTAATCTTTTTAAGTTATAATTTCTGAATTTTCTCTTGTGATCAAAGCATCTCATCATAGTGATATGAAAATGCCTTCCATTTGTTTAAATTAAACATGTGGGATGTTTGTGAATCCAAGAGTTTTTACAATATATATACACACACATATATATATTATGCAAATATAATTTATACTGTGGCATTTAATGTGTGTCGTCATTGAGCTGAGTGAACAATTTAATATTGTAAAATAAGTCAATGAACTTATTTATCATTTCTTGGGAATACCATTCTATTAATTAAACAGTGTTTACAAAAGTTCCTTTGAGCAAATACAAAGTATATTTGCATTGTATTTATGTGTTGCTCACTGCTAGACATCATTCCCAAATATTTCATTAGTGCCTAAATATGCAATTCACTTTTCAGAACATCAGATTGTTCCTTTAATGCTTGATATTAAAGAATTATGGAAAGTTACAATGCATATAAAAAATATATATGATTAAAACAATTATTAAATCCTGCAATTACTATAGGCTAAAACATTGAGTCAAACCGTCTTTTAGAAATATATGTGTAACTTGCAATAATAACTTAATCATTATATAGCCAAAGCATTTTGTACTAAACATAAAAGGAAAATGATGTGAATTTAAATCATCATGAGATTCTGAATTTTGAGAGTTTTTTAACAAAAGATAAGTGATGAAAACGGTAATTTTTATGCAACTCATTATTTGCCATTTCTGAGATTTTTGAATTGAATTTAAAATTGTATCAGACGCAATCTCCAGTTGTGCTTTTTCAACAATCATGCTTCGTAATTAGCTAACTTTCTATTGCCTGTGATGTGAATTGTATTTTATGTACAATCATTTCCAAACACAGCAAGTGTTATAAATTATTAACTGTCAAATTCTTCTGTGATCATCAGTCAAGTTTGTGGTAAAATTGTCTTCAAGAACATTTCTATAAATACAATATCTTGTTTTAAGGACTGATATTACATGAAACCATAATATGTGAACATCACAAGCATGTTAGGAATTGCAATCAATAAAAACAAAACAAATTTACTTTTTTCTTAGTAGGTTTTGATAAATTAATATCATATTGCCTGTTTGTATCAATATTTTTATTTCAGTTCAAATTTCATTTATTAAAACAATATGCAAATTTTAAAAAATTTCTAAAAATAAAAGAGTTAAAATTATTAAAGTGAATAATCATATCATAAATATATATACGCACACAAATCAAACAAATTGAGATTTGATTGCTTAGAATTTTAAGTATATCTGATTTCTAAAAACTTCTTTACACTTTTTTGGTCCAATATTTTTGTACTATTTTATGTAAAATCTAGTAGTCTAACATATATACATTAAAACAAAAAAATTCCCAAAAATTGTAAAAATAATTCTATAAATAACAAGTCTTTTTTGTGTTTTGATCTATTTCATAATTGTTTAAACATTATGAACAGATAAAAATAATCATTTATCATAAGCATATTGTCAATATATTACATTTAAATATGAGAATTCAGTTCAAAAATACGAAGTTTATCTATTGTAAAATGGCACTTTGTATTTTAAATGATGACTTACAACTTTACTTATCATTTCTGCTTTAAACAAATGGATTAACATATTTAGAAAGTTCATTTGTTATCTTTACAAATATATTAATTTAATATTGTCACTTTATATGGAGTTTCAAAATATTTCAATTTTCTTAAGTAAATTCTACATGATATTTATCACACATTTGTGTCTTCACTGTCTATTCTTTTCTGACAGATTTTATAGATATTTCTATACATACAATACCCTTGTTTTAAAAACTGATACTACATGAAATCATACTATTCAACTAACTATATTAATTAAAACTATATTATAACTAACTAATATTATATTATGACTATAATATTTACTTATTCTTATATTTTGAAGGGTCTTCTTCTTGATAAACAAATTTAACACTTCACACAGAGTAAAATTATATTTATTTCACACTAAATACTATTCTAACATAATTTACATATAAAAAAAAAATTATTATGCTTAATTAGTAAACAAAAATTTCCAAAGTAAATAAACCAATTTCCAGCACAAATTAACAAGGACAAAACATGGTTGCTTTCTTATAAATTTGTACTGGAAATTGGTTTCATTTGCATTGTTTATACCCACTTGAGATACGATCCCTACTTCTATCTCCCCTCAACTTATAATCTCCAAAATGTAATAGCATCAATGCTCCATATATAGAAATGTTCCTGACAAATTTCAAAATTTTTCACCCACACAATATATAGGAAAATACAGGTCAACACACACACACAAAATTTTCATTCTTTTGTATTTTGTTTTCAGAATCTGAAGACCTTAAAATGTTGAGAAATGCAAAAATCCCAATGTGTTAAAATTGACAATTAGAATACTTTTCCTCTGTTGTACTTGTATAATATAACAGCCAGGAAAGCAAAAATTATAGAATTATCCAATCAGTGGTGCATTGTGTAGCTTCATTGGGACTAGACAAATTTGAATTAGAGGGCCCCATGTACAGTGTTGACTTCTAATATTGCTATTGGGAATTTTTTGGGGAAATATTTTTTTATGCATAAACAGCTGCAATTCTCTTTTTGCCCAAAGGACAAGGCACCATTGTATCCAATTACTTCAAAATTCAGCATACAACTATGTCTCAGACAAGTATTTAAACAATTATAGTTGTGGTCCAATTTCTTACCAGGTAATGCCACACAGGTACCTTAAAACTGCAACTACATATCCTGTAAAAACACTTCACTATGCTCACAATTTTTAATGTACCTGTTGTTTTCAGGTCTTCAATCAATAATATGCTGAACATTGCAGTCAAAGAAATTATGCACAGCTGATGGGAGTTTGATAAAGACTGCATCATTGGGCTATGGGAAGCAGGATGGTCATTTTGAATTGTCCACAATCTGAAATGAATGAAATAGTGTTAGGAGCAGTGGATACATCAAGGCATGCATCATGACACAAGCATGAACAGCTGCAAAGGCATTTTATCTACAATCCGAAGACAGGTGGAAGCCTTGCCACACAGAATCCTGTCTTTTCCCATACCATTGGTAGGTGACTAACAGAGGAAAATCTGCACAAACATCAATTGCTATACATCCTGCCATTAGCACACCAGCATTGTGGTCTTCATTTGCAATGGTGCCATGGCAAAGATGAAGAAGTGCTACAGACCAGCATTGTACTGTAAGGAAAAAATGAGCTTTTAACTCTTACTTTGTCATATATGTTTCCAACAGATACATGGCTTTTTTTATTGAATTTCTCAAAAATAAATAATAGTTGAACTGCGGCCTTAGTATTCCTCAATTGATATGTTCTGAAGTGATTCCAACAGTGATTTTCAAGTTTATGACTTTTTTTTTAGAGAAATTTTATGAAAAACAATACCTTACTACCACTTGCAGTAAATTCTCTTGCAACGTGAGAGTGCTATACTCTCGATTGTTGCAGATAGCAATCGCAATTCAATAAAATAACAATGTAGGATATTCTAACTTTTTCTCCTGGTTTCAATGACAGGACCAATCCCAATTCATTTCAAATAAGCCTTTTCAGCTATTTTCAACAACACGATCTTCTTGCTTCAGTGTTATCACCCCACTGTCTCACGATCAGAGTATGATAAGAAATTTAATACTTTCAATTTTGCAACAATTAAAATTTATGTTTATTACATAACAATACCATTTAGTAATTGTGACCCACACATTTATTTGATAATTTTTATCAATATTTAATATTTTTAATATTTTTTAAATTATTAAAAATAAAATTATAGACTTCATTACTGCCAATACTAGTTGCTAAATTTAAAAGAAAACATTCCCCTGAATGCAAGAAAAAATTTGTTAGTATTTAACCCAGTACTGACAGAGAAAGTAGTTTTTGAAAACAAAGTAATAAAACAATTAGCAGTTTGTTGTACTTCACAGTGGAAAACTGGCAGAGTCTTACTTTTGTGGGAGAAAATGAACAAAACTACCCTGAAGTTGAAAAATAATACGATCCTGTGAAATTTAACAAATCTGATGTCACTAAGTAAATGTTGAATTATTTATAGAGAGTTGATATTTGATAAGTTTAGTTTTTTTGCATTTACAGATCAAATTACAGAAAATATAAATAAAAATCTCATATTTTTAAACCCATGCCTATTTTATACTGTTAGATAGTAGATAATATGTAGAAATCAAAGATATAATCATAGTCAAGCATATATATCAATAATATAAAAATTGCATTAATTTGCTTTATGTATCCAGCAGAGACAATGCGCCAAGTGACACAAAACTTGGCACACTTGGATGAGAGTTAGTTTTACAATTTGGCATTGTATTGACTTTAGCAACAAATTCCAGTTCCATTTGATAACAGACAACCATCATGTTAAGAGTGTGGAGGACCATTGGTGAGCACTTCAATCTTGCCTTTACTGATGAATGCCTCTATTATTGGTGTCTGGTTTAGGAAGTTGTCTCATATTACAGTAGTAGTATAAGGAACATTAATGACACAGCAATACTTTCAGTAAATCTTGCATCCTCATGTGTTGCATTTCATGGAAGGTTGCAAACAGCCATTTTCCAGAAAGGTAACACTTGCTGAACACAGCTAGGGTTCCAGGAATATCTCCATTGTATTACTTTTCCTTGGTCTGTCCATTCTCCAGATTTATCATCCATTGAGCATTTGTGGGATCAGATAGGATGCCAGCTTTGGTCATCTACAAATATGAAGGATCTGAAGTGACAGTTGCAACATCCAAAAGCAAATCTGTTGCAGGATTGCTTATGATGCCTGTATGCCTCAAAGCCTGAGTATATTACCAATTGTATTCAAGTAAGAGAAGGAACCATAAGGTATTACAGGCTACTTTAAACTGTATCATTGTCCCACAAGAAATTGTTCCTGTGCTAGTGTATTGTAATCACTTATTATATTACCAACATCATTACATTCACATTAACAAAGTTTCATTTGATTCCAAAGCCTCATTTTTAATGTTTAACTTTGGTTTGTCAATGAGTAAATTTTTGTATTTGGATAAAAGTATACAAAAACATTATTTCTAAACAAAATATGATCAAAATATAAATTTTAAAAAAATCTTGTTTTACACTGAAGTTTTCAGCTGTTGACTCATTATCAGAGTATTAATGACTCTTTTATAACATTGTTAACAACAAATTTTTTTTTAATTTAAAAAAAATAAAACTTCTAGATTCTTCTTAAATGAAGTCTTTTTATAACAAAATGTACAAATTTTATATTTTATGTAATTTATGAATATGAATCTTTAAATTTACATACAAGGTCTGTTCAAAAAGTATCGGACCTTTGGTCGGCAAAAATAAATTTATTGACTTTGAGGTACAAAACCCTAATCCCCTTCAAAGTAGTCTCCTTGGTAATGTATACACTTCTCCCAGCGTTCCTGCCATTGCTGGAAANAACCTCTCTAGTATTAAATTTTCAGGTTTTCGGTTGTTAAAAGTTTTAAGGAATTACATAATTATTTTCTAGAAAAGACTCTCAAAACTTTTTTGTTAAAAAATTGCATATGAACCCAATTAGAAAAATTGATAAAATAAATATTTTCTTACACTTATAACTAATTACATAAATGTACTTGTCACTAATCCAATAAACTTGAGGATCAGACAACTGCCAAATTAACAGATTTTCCAAGCCAATGAATTTTAGCATAAAAAATGGCAAAATAATATATATACCATACTCTACTATACTTTAGACATAAATCTAGCTTACTGGACTTCTTTATGAGAAAGTGCTAGTCCTGTGGCATACAACAACATAAAAAAGACAACCATTTATTTACCTTAACTTTTACAGTATTGTAAATCTACTTCCAAAATGTATTTATATTTTTACATGAAATCTAAATTAAGTTCAGTAATATCTAGAAAAAGAAAGTTAATGTCTTGGAGGATGGACACACACACACACACAGATTATTTTATTTTATATAAAGGAGAATTCAAAATATTTTAATTGTCTCAGTAATGACTACCAATTATAACATTATCATGCTTATTTTAATAAATTTTAAGGTAACTCTGGCTTAAATTATTTAACTGGAGTTTGTTCAAAACAACAAATATAAAACCGAAATATAGAAACAAAATACTGTTATTATTATTACTGTATTTAATCTGTGCATTTTATTCGAAAATTCTGGAAAAAGCAAAATTTCTATTGCAACTTGCAATAATTTCTTTTAAATCATACATAACAACATTTTAAAGATTTACAACTGCTAGTAAAGACTGCATCTTTAAGAAAAGACAACATTGTGTATAATTTATAAGTTTTGTAATGGGAACTTGGTGATCTATGCTATGGTGTCTCAGTGGAGGTTTCTAACCTGAGTGCCAACACTGAGTCCAACTATGAGGGATAACCAACAATGCCAAGGTAAGAGGAATTGTGAGGGGTATATCTGTGTGCAGAGCCTCCAGTGCCTATTCAACCTTGCATATGCATTGGGGACTGCAAATGTCAACCATACATTTCTCCTAACTTACCCTCTCACATACATTTTTAGATTCAAAAACTGTATATGGTTTGTATCTGTTGTAGGTTCTGCAGCAGGACAGCTGGTTGCTTGTGTGCTTAGTAGGTCTGCTGCCATTCACTCACATGGAGCTCCATCACTGCATGTGGTTCTCCCATTATGGATAAATCATTGACACAAAATATCTTCTAACTAACATTGTGTTGAGTAATAACTGTCCACAAAAACCTTTATCACTGTTGTGTTCACTTTTGACCTCAGTGGAGGTCGAAAACATTAGTGGATATTGTAACGAACACAACACTGATAAAGGTTTTTTGTGGACAGTTATAAATCATTATGTTAAGACTTATCCAAATCAATCTCATAAACTGCATGGCAATATCTGCAGTGCCTAGCCATCATGTAATGACAAAGGGCATTGACATAGCCCTGGATAAATTTTGTATTTATACAAATAAAAAGAAATAAACTACTAATATAACAAAAACTTTGGTCTCTTAATCAATATTTTTGGATTTGAAATCAATTATATTACAATTACTTAGCTATGCCAATACTTATGTTTGTCACTGTACTGTACATATTTCATATATCCTGATTCACAACACCTGACAACTACTTCTGATGCACTTTTCTACTTAATATAGTTAAGAACAAATCTATTTACCATATTATATGGCATATAAGACATACTCCATTTCAGTACAGAATATCTAGGAAAAAATATTTAGTGTATTTAAGCCATCCCATGCCTTTAACACTTGGCACCAAATATTTTTCTGTATTCTGGTTTAAACCAAAATACAGCTAGCCATCAATTAGACATTCTCAACTTTCCCGGCAACATTTAAAATTTTGGTGGCGCCATCTGTTATAATATTTTTTTTAAACTTTTTATATTTTTAATTATTATAAAATGGCAAAAAGCTTAATTTTGAGGGTAGGGATGAGTTTTATAAATACGAAAATTTTAAATGCTAATAATGAGTAAAATCATCATTAAGTCCGACCCTAATGGAGATATACGCGATCCCAATTATCTCCCCACCCCCGCGACCTTTAACCACCAAAATTTAATAGCATCGATCCGCCTAACGAACAAACCTTTCAGCAAAATTTCAGAAATTTTCGACAAAAAGCACGGGAGTTATTAAGCTTCAAAGAGGGTGAACAAAATCGTGTCTCCTCTCACACACTAACATCCATACAAACAGAAAAAAAAAATTGACCCGCCAGTGGCCAAGCGGTCTTCGTACCCCCAACACTGGGAGTTCGGTCGTGGGTTCGCGCCTGACTCGGATGGGATAACTACGTGGAGTTTTCCGTGTTTTCTCCACATCTGTAACGCCTAAATAGGGGTCAGTTTCCCTTAAAAAGACCTCCAGGAAGGCATCCCCTAGGCAGATCACCCAAGTGTTGCGTTGCCATAACTAAACAAACAGAAAAAATGCTGCCCCATTTTTTTTGGCATTTTTCGACGTTTCAAGGTGATCCATGTAAGTGCAAAAATGCAAAAATCTGGGGTTTATTTTTTGCTGGATCGCCAAACGTTCCCTCCGTAATAACAGCCGGAAAAGTAAAAAAAAAAAAGTATGATTAGAATGCATACTTTTATTTATTCAAGAAAAAACAGGTATTTAAGAAAAATCACTTACCATATACAGTATATATATATGTACTGTATATATAAACTCTCTGCCACGTGGATACTAAAAAGGCCTTTCTAGCAAGCGCATTATGGATTTGGCCAGGCCCAAACAGGACAAGACAGATTCTTTCAAATGTGTTGGTTTCAGTCCCACACGGCAAAGGAATGAAACCAGCACATTTGAAAGAACCACCTCCGAAAAATGATTGGTGTTTTTCAATTTTCGATTTCCCACAACAGTAAGCTGCCATTTTTGATTTTAAAAATAACTTCAATTTACATAAATAATTTACCTATTCTTTATATAAACATAATCGTTAATTTATTAACGAATTTTCAAAAACCGAAAAGATGGCGCCGGGTTTGTGTCGTTTTAATTTAAATTCAACGTAAATATATAACAACTTTAGGATTTTTGAAAATACGCCAATAACTTTATGCAAATTCATTAAAATTTCAGTAAATATTAAACCTTTGAAATTATTTCACAAACCATTTCTGTTCTTCGATGAAGACAACGGGAAACGAAAAGCAGACGAACTTTCTGAAAAAGTATATAGTGTTGCCAGTCTTTTTTATAATTTCAAAATAAAAAAAGGGGGGAATAAAGTTAGCTTAATAAAACGCAGAGAATTTTAAAATTAAAAAGAAAACAAATAAAGTATATATAATATTTAAAACATAATTTTTATAAATTTATATTTAAATTTTTGTAATAATTTAATTGTGATTTACCGCCCTCGGGGATCCTGGATCGAATCCGAACGGGTTGAAAAATCCCCAGGAATTTTTCGGGGTGGTCCGTCCGGATATGTCGGGCCCCGTCCCTCACTACCGGCCGCCCCATTGTGGGTCTGATCGAACCCATAGTAAACTTGCTAAAAGAGGCCCTCTTAGTGTCCACAGGAAAGAAAGTTTAAAAAAGTAATAAACATAACAGATTCTTTATTTTAAAAAATAGATTAAAAAAAAAATACAATTTACATTTAAAAATTGTTTTTTTTTCATATTGCATCATACTTTCTGTCAATTTTCTTTAACAATACGAAGATTTATTAACAAACAGGGCCGTTCCCTGCAACATTCTGCAAAATGCAAGGATA